AATATCCTTCTGATGTTGAGGGCTCCACAGCTGGATGCAGCACTCCAGGTGGGGTCTCACCAGAGCAGAGTAGAGGGGCAGAATCACCTCCTTTAGAATCAGTCCTTCCTTTACAGGCAGGAAAAAGGAGAATTGTCTTGGAGGGTCAGGGAGGTAGGTGTACATCTGCATGCCCCCGGGAAGCCCAGGTGCCTCAGCGGGTGGGGTGGCGTGCGTCGCTGGACGCGGGTGCCCGGCAGCATGGCGCTGACGTGAGACCGGCTGCCTCCAGTCCTGCGGGTGTAGCGACTGCAAACACGCTTTGCACAAGCCTCGCTAGGCTCCCAAAGGATACGATGTGAGGTTTTGAGGTTTTTTTTTCCCTGTAGGAAGTTCTCTCTACACGCGTGCGGTGCGCTGAGGTGTGGATGTGAAGGCGCCTGCCCGACAAGGCCCGCAGAGCTGCGGTCAGGCAGTGGGGCTCCTGACCAACGCCGAATGAGCAGGGTCAGCTCCTGGCTCTGGCCGTGTCCTTTATTCCCCATTTGGGCAGCTCTGTAAGAAGATTTAAATATGTTTTGGGTTACCCAGCTTGTGGTAATCAGCTAATTGATTTTTTTTTATTTGAAAACCCACCGAGTAAAGTTTGACATTTGAATAAATCGGGAAGCGACTCCCAGTCTGATGCAGAATGCCATCTCTTAGCAGTGATGTCCTACTTCCATGTTAGGAAAACAAAATACACAAAAAGAAGATTACGAGCTTTGATCTGGAGGGGGAAAAGACAAACCAAACCTCCCTTTCAGAAACTGGATCCTTACCCATTTAACATAAGTACGTTTAAGCTTGTTTTGCATTTTTCCACTTGCAGAGCTATGCAGTTGCTGTCTTTCTACTGACATTTTCTCCATTGTATTTATGCATCTTGCTAATGTGGCTCATTGTTTTAATTTCCAAAGTCAGGAGCGAGAAAGTTCCTTAGTGTGGACAGAAAATGGGAATACTTAATATTTTTTATCATTACCTGTCCTTTCATATTAATAAATTAAAATAATGGGAGGAAAAGGTATTGTAGCTAGAATCAAAAGGCATGTCAAGTGCGTGGCACACAGCATCTTCCGCAAACTAGATGTAAATGAGTAAGTGTGATACACTTAAGTCAAAACCAGCAGATTCTATCAGTATTATAATACAATACTAATTTATTGCAACCAATGTGGAATTGTTTCCACTGCTTGGAAAAGCCTTTCTTTGGGCTTGTGCAGAATGGTCCGTGCAGTGTATGTTCTGAAAAGAAATGTGAACGACAACTGTTGGTTTTATTAATAAGAATGGAAACTGTTACTTAATAAATAAAACCATTCATGAAATGGAACAGAAGCAGTCTGCCCTTTGGGGTTTTTTTGTATTGTTTTGTTGCAACTCTCTTTGACAGCTCTCCACCTTTTAGGTGGAACAGCTGATGGTAAAAGTACAGAACTCACAGAATTTGTTTCAGATTGCCTTAATTTATCTGAAAATGAGGTCTTCAGTAAAGGATGACCACATTTAAAAAACAGAAATTGTTAGGGATTTTTTTTTCTTGATCTTATTGGTAGTATCATGGTAATCACAATTCTCTCAAGTGTTGGGCTTCTTCCTTCTCCCATCCTTGAAGATGACAGGTGCTCAGGGCATGAAGATTTGCTTCTTGAAAAGGAAATGAACTAATCATATCAAATGCACTACAGCTTTTGTTAATATTCCTGTCTTCAGTGGTATATATTATTCTAGACATATCGTTGAGTTGAAATTTAGAAAGATTAAACACAATTTTCTAATTTGTATTGGGGGAACTAAAACCTTTTTTAATAATTTTATGTATTTTTTAGTAGGATGGATAAGTCAAGCTTCATCTGGAAGAGCAGAGTTAGTTACATAAGGACTTACACAAGCAGTAAGGTCAAAGGCTTAGTGAGAGAATGCACAGAAAATGCTAAATAAAAGCTTTTAGTTGTTTTATCTTTTCCAAATTACTGCAGTAACAATCAAAAGGGATGTTGGCCTGTAAGCTTTTTATGCTTTTTTTCCTTTGAGTTACAGGCCTCATACTTAGGAAGTTCTTGCGGTGACATTGGAAGGGTGACATGTACGTCTGTGAAGCACTGGGCTTCTTTTCATTCTCTTGAATGGTTGATGAATAAGAAATTAGTATCTTCAACTGTAAAGAGCTTGAAATAGAGTTAGCTATGTTTTAGTTAACCTCAGTTGATAGAGGAGCGATGCTGTGTTTTTGTTTGGAAAGTGGAAAGCAATTTGAATTTTACAATTTAGAGTATTTGGTTTTTTCTCCTTTATAATGGCTGAATAATTGTGATGGTGTTCTAGGACTGTGTTATAATATTACCCAAAGTAATATGGGATATCTCGATACGATGAATAGTCTTTCATCTTTCTATTTTGTTGCGCAATATGACCGCTTCTTGTGTTGGAATTTTTTAAGTATATTTATTTTAATGCTTTGGAGGTTGTTTTTACAAAGACTTGATTACATTTACATTTGATGCTATTCTTTTTTTTTTTTGGTTAAAATTCCTCAATATTTACTGTTTGTCTTTTCATACGGCATGTCCTTTAATGCGTGCATTTCTAGGAATTTTGAACATCTGTGACTTATCTTTTCATTTCTTAAAATAAGTAGGCAGTCCGCATCTTTTAGATATGGTTGGTGGTGCTTGTTGTATATCGAAAAATGATTAAATATGGTCTCTTATCTGCATGGTTTTTCATTGTTAGAATTGAAATCCGAATAGTAAAAATGTTTTTGTATCATGATACGATTTTTCTTTCATATGTTCTGGCTTCCTATAATACCCAATGCAGTTGTTAATGAACTACTTTAATTTGCTTCGTGACATGCATCAAATGGAAGCCCACTGAAAAAAGTCCTAGAACTAATGACAGTTCAAAGCTTTAATTGTTTGATTTAATGGATTTAAATTAAATGTTTAGAGAGTCAAGTGGTAAGCGGGAAAGAGAGAGAATTTATGGTTAGATATTTTTTTTTCCTCTTATTTTTCCTAAAATCCTTACCTTCATTATTTTCTCTTACTTTTTTTTAGGGCTGAGGGTAGCCCAGGATGGCCGCAGCTTCATATGATCAGTTGTTAAAGCAGGTTGAGGCATTAAAGATGGAGAACTCCAACCTTCGGCAAGAGCTAGAGGATAACTCAAATCACCTGACAAAACTGGAAACTGAGGCATCTAATATGAAGGTATTGCACACAGGCACAGGGCTTGCGTTTCTGTTACTGCCTTTTGTGTCAAGGACTGGTAGTTGCTCGACGCTTTTTGTGCGCCTCTAGATTCCTACAGAATTGCGTGTCCAGGCTGTGTAAGGGAAAAGCTATCAAATCTGCTTAGTGAAGAGTTTTTTATTTTTTTATTTAATTTGAAAATTGAAATATTTCCAAACAGATTTTTTTAGAAACAGCTTACAGTTTTCTTAGCTTCTTTTCTGGTGTGTCATGATAAGCACTGCCATTTTAGCACTGCTGTACTTACCAGCAGGAAATGCAGTCTGCTGACATAGGTTGACAAAGCAAGTATTGTTCAGCTCTTGAAAACATGGCAGAGCCTGGACATCTTCAGTGTTTTAAGGTAAGTTTAAAAATTTTGGGGTTTACTACAATTACAATATTGAACATCCCAAAAGGAAAAGTTAATTTTAAAGTACGACCACAAGTTCTCCAACCTCTCCCAAAGCCTAAATTCATACTTAGTAATTTCACCCAGATCTGTCCATCTGGTGTTTCCTGGCTGGGTGTAGGCCTTCAGACCCACCTATCCAAGAGGAAAAGCCAGGCTCAGCTGGAATTTAGGTGGATTTTGGTCGGTAGGAAGATGCATACACACCATCCATGTGATCCATGACACTGAACAAGGCAGAATTTCACAAGCATTATAGCTGCATTAATGTAGTGCTCTTCCTATGCTGGCAAATCCTGCTGCTTTTTGCTAACAGAGAGCAAAACCACACTCCTTTTGGTATCTCAGTTAATAGGGCTTAGTAGTTGTTTGTATTTCTGCATATGTTCCTGTAGAGGGTGGGCATATTCTAAATATTAAACATTTGTATATCCATATCCTGGATTTCCCATCTTTATATCACAGACTTAATATTCCTTTGTAACTATTTTTTTTTTTTAATATGGTAATCTGATGAATATGACAGTTCAGATTACTTTGATCTGAACTATCTTCCTCCAACATGTAGGTTGTGACCTGTATATTCACTCTTAGGGAGAAAAATTATCTTGTGTTCTGAAGCATTGTCACTAGTTACAACACTTGAAAGAAGCAGAAATTTTTCGTATGTGTTTAATCCTTGTATTACAGTGTAAAGTGAAAATGTCTCTGCTATCCAAAATTGAAATGAAATTACAGTCCTTTACAGCAGGTACTTAAAACTGGTTGGCATAAGCAGCTGTGGAAAAAAAATATTTGTTTGCTCAGTTACAAATCTGAGAGCTAGTTCTGTCATTTACACTGTTTTTCTTAGGATAATATTATAACAAATCGGTCAGTAGGTCCCCTTCCATCCCTGTCAGTGCAGCCTAAAATAAGGGAGGGAAGAACAGGAAATAGGATCTTCCCCATAGTTTGAAAAAGGGAAAGCAAAAATGTATTTTTTTCCCTTCTTTGTCTCCATACTGTTTCGGGGTTTTTTTTCAACTTTTGTGCAGAAGATTAAATTTCCACTGATGTCGAGACAGACCAGCTGTGTAAACCGGTCTCTAGGGCATTAATTTGGGATGTGGAACAGCTTTCTGTCCTTACTTCAAACCTGGCAGACCACCAAGCAGAAAGGGGCTCTATCGCAGTCCACAGAGCAGTGCTTACGAGCATATTCAGAGTAGATGTCACATTTTTTCTCTCCCCAAATGCCATTCTAGGTGTAAGGAATTTATCTTAACAAAAGGCTTCAACTCAAATATCAAACTCAGTATGTTTCTTTTCATTTCGGGGGGGTGGGTGGCAAGAGATTGTTAAGGTTAATTTGATTAAAAAAAAAGCCCAAACCAAAAAACCCACATATTCTGTGAAGAAATCCTAATCAGCTATGTTTCTCACAAGTGCTTATTCTTGCACGTGAACCTAGAAGCTGTTTCTTTCCCTTGTTGGCTTCAGATGTGTTTAGAAAGGGTCCAAATCTAGCTTTGACTTGACTTGAGCCTGAAGGATGGAATGGGAATGGTCTTGGAGTCTGATTGGAGTCTGTGGGTGACGTTTAATGGGGATCATTGCAGGATTCTATTTAGTCAGGAGATAATTTTAGTTTTGCAGGCTTTTGGACAAAGTACACGGCGGCTTTGTTTCACTGAAAGAAACTCTGTGGTTTGTGTGGTTCCAGTGCCATAATCAGGGATAATTACAAGAAAAGTAATTAGAAGAACCAGAGCAGTGGGGATTGAAAGCCTTTTGGCTACCATATATACAGTTGAAACTCCAGATATTTTGGAAAAAGATCCTTGGGAGCATGTAAGTGTCACAGAGCCCTAGCAGCCCCTCCCACCAGGTAAAATTCCACATATTAGTGGAAGAAATGGAGCCCCAGAAGCTGTGGTTCTATGGCAAATGGTTCTGTGGTTCTATTACTGTTCTTGCACTGTGTGTTTTGGTCCGTGGGCTCGTGCAGAAACATCTCACAGTAATTCTTAGGACTGCCGTTGTGTTTGCTTGTGATTCCTCTTTTGCTTTACATTCTTCAATTGGGTGTAAAAGACAATAGTTAGGAAGGGTATTTTAAAGACAATATTGTGTCTTTAAAGAAACTGATTTTGGAAGTGGTAGTGTTAAAATGTTGTGTAAGTGTGCCTCATCTTTATAATCTCTGCATTTCAGAAATGTAAGGTAATCGTACTGGAATTAAAAGCTTAACATGAGCTCATCTTGCACATGTATTTATTATAAACTACTACTGACCTATATAAGCACGGTGTCTGAATGTTTCATGTTTAAAGCTAAATTTCATATTTAAACCTGAAAACTGCACCTTAGCTGGCCAGAAAACAACATGATGGGTAAACAAAAGATAAATGTGGTAACGGGGATGCCAAAATGATTTGTGAAACAGTGTCCACTTTGTTTTTTAATTTGTGTTGTCCTAGGGATTAACTGTTCAAACAAAAGAAATCCCTCAGAGTATCATGACTAATTTGGGAAAATCAGTTGTTACTGTTGGCGTACTGTCAGATGAAAGACAGCAGTTCAGTATGATAAAATGTTCTCTCTAAATCAACAAATATGCTGGTTTATGGTCAGTGAAATAATCATGTTGGACCATTAATGAAGAAAACCAGTGTCAGTGTCTAGATGTATATAGTAACAGTAACTGCATAAAACACAGGCTACAGGCAAATTCAGGAAAAATAATGGACATAGTTTTATTTGAATTGAAAACCTGTAAAATTCATGAAGAGACAAAAAGCAGTCCAATGTCAGCTACACTACTTTGTGCATATAAATGTGGGAGACCTTTTATCAGAAAAGAACCTCAATTTTGGGACATCCATTGCAAGCAAAGACTCTGCTGCCTGGTTCTTGTAAGAGACAAATATTCTTCTGTTAACAATGTCACTTTTTTTTATGTCATACTAATTCATATCAGCATTTTGCCCTGTATAAAATCTAGGGGTAAATAGGCATATGTGACTTAACCTCAAGTACTCAAGAAATAGCGAAAGAATAAAGTCATGCTTGATTTCCACACTCTGTCTCCGAGTGCTTGGATTTTACAGTAAATGAGTAATGTGTGTTATCTTGTGTAAGAAAGCTATCTTCTGTGTATGTGATGCTCTGCAGGCAAAAGTATTGTGTCCATAGGTGTCAGTAATAAAATAGGAAGACTCAGTAGAACTGATTCGGTTTTCTTGATTTTTTTTTTTCTTTGAGAAACATTCTAACCAGCTAAATGTACACTGTAAGAAACAAGGAAATGGTTAAACTGGTCTCAGAAAAATCATGTGCTGCTTATTAATTGAGGGTTTTTTTAGTATTTTTTGGTTTGTGGGAGTGGGGTTTTTTTGGCAGATCGTTGTCCTCACATAAAGGATTTAATTTTAATAATTTTCTGTAGGGTTTTTTTGTTGGTGGTTTTGTTTGTTTGTTTTAAGTGATTCAGGTTTAAAAGACAAAATCCTGGAGAGCTAGTTACTATGATGTCCAGTGCAGGTCCAAAGAGTGGTTTATTTTGACATGGATGGTGTTTGTGGGTTTCTTCCAGTAATTAGACAGCAGAGTAAAAAAACCTTGTGAGGCTGTTATGTTGGATTAGAATTGATGTTGACTAAAAATAGAAACAAGTCCTAAGATATTTTGAGGATTTTGATTTTGAATATGTTTGTACAATGTTAAGCTCAGATAATTTGATGTGGTTGCAAAAGAAATTTTAAGCCTATAGCATATAATATTCTAGATTTATTGCAGTGTTGTGCATACTTTGGGAGGTTGATTAATTGATGCTCAAAATAGCAAAATTAAAGGTAAAAGTGTACTAAGGAAGAAGCTGTAGTGTCTGGTTTTCATCTTGTTTCTGTCATGATGGATTTGTGAGAATGAGAAAACTTGTATCTTACTAGAACTGAGTGTGATTTTATAATTAAATATTAAGTTGTGTTTTACTGTACCTGCATATGATATCTTTTTATGGCTAAAGGGATTAATATACAACTCCTTAGCAGGAATAGCAGACTAACTAAAGTTAGCAACTTAATGGTTACAGTAGCTCGTTTGTTTCATTAAAAAAAGGGAGTCTGAAACATGTACTGCTTCCAGCTTGGAGTTTGTTAGCATACATTTGTTTATAAAAGCAGAAGATTGATGTGCAGAATGTTCCAGGAACTAACTGGCTTGCAATGTTTTGAGCTCTGTTCCACCTTTTGGACATGAACTCTTTGTCAAACTTGGATGGAAGCGGCATCTTGTGATCGATAAGCCGTAAGAGTTCAAAAAAAGTGCTGATTCTTTACATCGGGTATACCAGTAGTTGAAGCACATCCTTTTTTACAAGTTTACACTTGTAGCAATATAAGATTTCAGGTACTATTGGTACCTTTTATCCCCCTTGCCTAAATTTTAAGGTTTGCTTTAAAATGGCTGCTGAGGAATTCTCTCTTTTGGAATGTGTAATGACTTTTATCAGATGTCTCCTTGATTGAGTAAGGAGGTGGTCACTTTTTCTAAATTTAACTCGCCAAAGTCCACTTCATGGCCA